ACACCTTTTAAATAGGTGGAAGGATGTCAAAAGGAGGAGTTTAGAAACCTTGAAGAAATAGGCTAAAAATGGAAGAAAAATGACTTAAAAACTTTGGGAAAACATGGGAAATGAATGCGAAATCAATTTATCCAACCTAATGACCTATCATTTACTTTTCTTCTTTATCTTCACTCATTCGTCGAGTTTGTGGAAATTCAGGGTGTGACAACACGTATGTATCGTATACAAAAAAACAATTCTTTAAAACTCTACAAGATGAAATTAGAGTTTACCTTCGAGATCGCTTTGGATTTATCTCATCTCAACACGAACGCAGAAACTAAAGACAGACACAGAAAGCAACTTGCTAAACCTCATGGTCTTCTATAGTATATCCCCTAACGCCAAAATTTCGGATACAGTCTGGGCTGCAAGGACCTTTGAACTTTGACTCTCTCTATCTCTCTAAAAAAACATGAGTAATAAATTGATGTTGATTTAGAGAACTTAGACGTCTATATATAGGCTACAACAAAAATCCCAAGGAGAAATAAGGTTCGGGCTTCCAATGGGCCTAGGATTTCTATGTTCAACTCAGAACAAACATGTGACGCCCCTAAATCCGGGGGTCCCGTTGACCACCGTCAACCTACGAAAATATCCGTGAGTGCCGCATAATCCAACATCAGGTAATAGTATCCTTTTACCTGGGATTTTAACTCACACGTGTAACCCATGTTCTTTCAATTATTTAATCCAACCAAGGTTCAATATACCCCAATACATCTCATTTAATGTCCATTTGTATTTTTGGAACCAAGGAACCAAAGGCCAAGGGCATAGCACTTTAATTTTAAATTTGGAAAATTTGGAAAAGCGCACCGGTACTGTGTACCAGTACAGTTTGCCCCCTGGACAGACAGTACCGGTATGCCGTACTGGTACATTCTGTCCAGTTTTGTCCGTTTCATCTGTTTTTCATGTCCAATCCATTTCAAACATTTCCAAATTCATCTCAAACATGTATAAAGATATTTTCTACATTATACATGATTCATACAAGTCTATTACAACCCATTCCATACAATTTACATGCCAAAATAGAATTAAACCAAAAAGTTTTACATAAAAATCGGTTCAAGAGCCACAACCCGGCTCTTCTTCACCTTAGAGGCCCCGTATGTGTGTCATCCACCAGAATATGTCCCGTACCTGAAATGTTTTCCCGTATAGGGTGAGTCAACGCCTAGTAGAATACTTCCTACAAGGGCTACTCTCCACCTAAGTACATATGCAATGTTCATGCACCACATTTGCAACCATTGAATCTTTCCAATCAATAACATATATGTTTCATGTTGGAATCTACCATGTCATGTCATGAATGAAATGAAATTCACTCACGCACCTCAACCCGAGCCTTCACCAGCTCTCACCATACTATGCAATGCAAGTGTAAAATATTTATCTTTGATGAAATACATCCAAAGATCATTTTGAAAACAAACTCATATGTTCATAAAAACCAATTCATTTCTGGATGTTTCCCATCAAATGAATCCTTTATTTAATCAAAACCATGTGTCTTTATTTGGGTAGTGGACTTTTGGTGTTGCACCGCCAGCTTCATACACCGATACACTTTTTTGGACTTACACCGTCGGAAGTGTATAAATCAATAGCCGGGTCTTGCACCCGAGGGGGGGATCTATCCCTTCTTGCTATACCCGACACAAGTTTTTCATGTATGCAACCGTACGACTTAATGGGATATTCAACCCCACTTTCCCGAGCCCACCCATCAAAACACCAAATGTTGTGATTGATCCAACCATGCACTCACACACCCATACTCATGGTCATGGATGCATTCTCCCGTGCAAATGCAATTTGATACACCATTGCAATACCAATGTCATGCTCAAATGTAATGTATGCCAAGTGAGCTATTTAACCACACATTTCAACATGTGTCAAGGCAATTTACATCATATGTATAAATTCACCAATCCCATTTTCCTGTCAATACATCAACAAGCATTTATTAAAATTTATATCCAACAATCCTTCACAAGCGTATTATACACAACTCATGCCATAATACACTTCATTTACAAGCACTATAAATCACATAGCATGCTCAAGCTATCAAATTCCCAGAAAAGTACACAAGTAACTTCCTATGCCAACATAATTAGGAATTGGTCTAGACCAAATTCCATGCCCATTTCCTCTTTTTCACAACCATGGTCAATGACCTAGATTATTCCAAACCCTTACCCCATTCATAAATCACCCTAGGTAAGAAAATGAATCAAGGTAGGAAAAACCTACCTCTTGAAGCGTAAAATGAAAACTAAAAGCTTCAAGAACACCCAAAATCTTGATTTTTCAAAATCACCTCCTCGCATCTTTGGTGAAATCTCTTGTTCTTGGTGCGTACGTGTAGCCCTCGTCACGTAGACCAACTTTAATTCTTGGATCAAGCAAATTCCGACCAACGGAGCTTCTTAGATCGAAGGAGAAAGCTTGAAATTTCTATTTTCTCTCTTTTCTCTCTTCTCCAAAGTGTGGTGTGCTAAACAAGGGTGAGAATATCTGATTTTTTAGATATTTAGCCCTATTTATACTTTTTAATTGCGCGGTCCACATTCTCCCACTCGTTTACCACTTCCGGGTTCGTTTTTAACCCGAAACGACTTAATTAAATTTCGGTTTTAGTTCAAATTAATTTTATTTAAATTTTTATTCAATTACAAGAAAATTTTATAATTTTTGTTATTGGGGACATTTAAAAGTTCATTCGTCATCTAATCGTCTCGAAAAACGTATAAAATTTGACTATCTCGAAATTTGATGTAGCAGCTCAATTTCGCGATACGAATCCAACGGTGAAGTTTGTTGTGTCATACGAGCTCTAGAGAATGCATATTTCAATTTCGTATAATAATGACAAATTACTATTTTGCCCTTTGTCGGAAAAAGTTTAAATTTTTTCAGATTTCACAAAACATCCTACATCCCATTAATAATAAGTTAGTCCACTAAAAACTTATAATTAATCTCCTGAGCCTTATCTCAAAATTATATTCGAGCTCCTTATTATTATATGTTTAATAATCTTCTCATGTTTAATATCACAGATGTCCATTAATTAAATAAATTACTGACAATTATATTTAATTAACTTCTTTTATTCCTCAAGATCTTACCACTCAACTTATTTGTCATGTCGGATAATTAATTCCACCTGTAGAGTTTCATATAGACAAAACTTATGTGCTTCCTCAAAAGGACATCATTAACCCATTTAAATATCAGGAAGTAATTTCCTGTAATAATTAATGACACCATACAAATAACATCGTCTCCCAATTCACCACGCTTATTTACTCAATATGAATCTCACTTTTTGATGAATTAAAGTGACAATAATTACATGCACGTGGCGATTAAATATCTTGAGATTAAGAGTATAAGCAATCATAATAATCATGAGGTATTTATTAGCTTATTGAACCAGTAAAAGAAAATATCCTCAACATGAGTCTGTTCAATACACAAAGTGTACTAGCGTAATAATTCGAGACAAACAGTCTCCTATAGTTAAGACAGACTATGTCAGAATATTACACTACAATCATATTAATGGTTTGTTCAATTCCATTTAGGATTGTGAACATATATTTATTTTATACAAGGATTCGATAATCTGATTTTCTATGTGTAAGCCGAATTCTACATACCAGATTATCTACAATATAAAATATAAGACACACATGTATACTATATATCAAATATAATGAAAATATTTTGCCCACGTAGATTCTCAATAAAAATGAAAAAAGCAAACTTTTATTAATTAATAAAGTGAGTTTCACTACAAAAAATAAACTTTTAGTGTACAACTCTATAACTTCATCACACCAAAACTCTCCATTTTTGGCATCTTAAAGCTCTCTGGGAGAGGGTAATTTGAGACGTCTTAGGTAAAAAGGGACTCGGTGTGTTGTACCAAAGCTTCTACAGCTTTCGAGAATCGAGCTTTTACTGTGTTCAAAACGTTACCCAACTTTTCATTAACCTCCTAAAACTTTCGTTCCCATTGGTCATTGACTTGTGGCCAGATAGCCTCATTTTGGTTTTTCTCTTCGTTCATGTGGTTATCATCTCCATGCTCTTGGATCTAGGATAAACCCTTCTGTGGGTGATGTTTGTTGGTGAAAAGCTAAAGAATTTGTTGGTTTGTCGCCTCTTCTTCTAGAGGCGTTGTGTTCCTCCTACCCATTGGATGTGACTTTGGCCACTCGTTATTGTTGGTTTGATACCTAACCGGATCCTTTGATCTTGTGATAGCCATCAGATCTGAAGTCTAGTGAGTAGATTATGTTTGGAAAACGTGTTGCTTCCTACAAACAGAATCAACTGATTCTGGTTAAGAATATTCATCGAGCTCCAGATGTGACAGAGAGTTGGGCCTATTCTCTCGTACACCTGTAGAGGCAAGTCGGAGACTAGAGAAGCTCTAGGGATTGACCCTCCGAGGGTAAATTTAGTTGGAGATATTTGAGGGATTAGAGAAAGCTTTTGTTTGTATTTGATTCACTTACCTTGATCTCCTTTATGGCCTCCCTTCTTATAGGATGCATGGTTAGGCAATTAGCGGATCTTGCTCCACCTCTTTAAGCTAAATTTGTTACACTACACTTGCTTGACCCAGTCTTGTTGGCTATGTAGAAGTGGTGGTTGAGTTGAACTAGTCAAAGTTCTTCTGAAGCAGGCCTCTACCGAGCTTCAAGGGTTTAAGGGATGGTTAGCTGTCGAGTTGAAACTAATCCAAGCTACTGAGCTTGGCATTCCAAGCACACGGCTTTTTCCTATTTATTAGTAGTGGTCATTGTTTAGGAATTTATTGTAGTGATTAGCTGGTGCACGTTCCCTCATAACTCTTTTAGTTACAATCAAACTGAAACTCTATGACACTTTTTTAAAAAATCTAACTATTTAATCGTTAGTTTGACCAAATTTACTATTGAAGCACCAATTCACGGACATTGAAAGTGTTTGAGTTCATAGATAATCTTACAACCTTAATTTTAGTCTAGAGACAAACAATAACAGAAAAATAAAAATTGAAGACAACAAAGGTGTACAAGTGTTTCAAAATGTAGCAAATTAAACTAACATATTGGAAGAGGGGCACCATTCCAGCTCTTGAGACAATCCAACAATGGATCAATGATCAGCCCCTTGCACATTGCAGTAAACACCTTGTCGAACTCCTCTCCCGGCGATCGGACCTTCTCTCCGGTCAGTAGTCCTGTCCCCAGCTCTTCTCTCACAAACTTGTACAATGGGTAAGACCTGCACTCCTTAATTTGATTAGGAATTCCTGGATTTCCACTCTCAACCAAAGTTCTTGTGCTCTCAACCTCTTTTGGCAATAGGGTCTTAAGTTCATCCTCAAAAGCTCCAATCTTTTGGAAGATCGAAGTGCTCACATTCTTCTCATTATCGCCATTTGTCAGTGCGTGTTCGACGAGAACTTGCCTTAATTTTTGCATTAACGGGTAGGTAGCACTGCAGGGATCATCGATATAAGCAAAAATGTGTTCACGATCCACAACTCTAAGCAAATCCTTCTCACAAAACCTTGATGGGTGAAGCTCCCCATTGACACCCATAGTCAGAGTTCTCTTAGCTACTTGGCTGACTGTATTCTTGACAGTATTTTTCAAATTCTCTTCCATATGCCTCAAATCAATAGCTTGGCATAGTGCTACAAGATATGTTGATGACATGAGCTTCAAGATATCAACAGCTTCAGCGGTTTTTCGCGAAGATATTAAGCCCAAGGAGTTCACATCTTGGTTGTGTTGCTCAGCGCTTTGGACATGGTTAGTGACCGGATTGGCAAGAAATTGAAGCTCGGAACAGTATGCTGCCATAGCAATCTCAGCTCCCTTGAAACCATAGTCCAAACTCGGGTTGCGTCCACCAGAGAGATTAGAAGGCAACCCATTATTGTATAAGTCATTAACTAGCTCGGAGAATTGTGCAAACATGAGTTTTCCAATCGATGCAATAGCCAAACGAGTATTATCCATGGAGACACCAATTGGGGTACCTTGAAAATTACCACCATGTAAGGCCTTGTTCCTCGAAACATCGATCAAAGGGTTATCATTCACTGAGTTTATCTCCCTCTCGATCATCTTTGTTGCTGAACGGATTACTTCAATCTGTGGCCCGAGCCACTGGGGTGATGTTCGAAGAGCATAACGATCTTGTTTCGATTTCTGCAATGGGTCCATCTCATGTAACTTCAGAGCTAATTTAACATAAGAGCTACCATCTAAAATATGTTCCATAATAGCTGCAGCCTCGATTTGGCCAGGGTGATGCTTCAATTTGTGTGTTAGATGGTCGATAAATTCGGGTTTACCATTCATTACTTCAGCAAAAATAGCAGATAGAACTTCAGATAACACAAGAAGTATATTAGCCTCAAAAAGAACCATAGAGGCCAAGCCAGAGCCAACAGCCGTGCCATTGACAAGGGCAAGGCCTTCCTTGGGCTGTAACTCGAAGAACCCGCCATCAATTCCAGCACGATGAAATGCTTCCTCTGGATTGAGAGTTTCTCCCGCAGGTCCGACAGCCTTGGAGTTGGGCCTGCCAGTGAGTAATCCGGCAATGTAGGATAAGGGGACAAGGTCGCCCGAAGCAGAAATTGTAGGAACTTTGTGATTGCTTCCAAGATTTCAAATCTAATGCCCGAGTAACCTTGAAGAAGGGTATTGATCCTCACAAGCATTGCTGCTCTTGATGCTGAGTGTGGTAGTGTGTGACAAGATTCTGTTCCATTGCCAAAGATCCCAGCATTCAAAAACCTGCACAATTATGTAACAGTTAATGAATAAATCAGACATTTTAAACTACAGAGACTCTAGTCACATTAAAATTCAATTAACAACATTCTGTAACATTGGGATTGACTTTAATCACATCATCATGTCCTTTCTAAAAATGATGGGCCCATATTTTTCACAGGAAAACTGTCACTCTTAGTCTGATTTTTCTTTGTCGTCAATCTTATTATCAATTTTAATAAATTTTGTATACTGGCACTAATTCATTAATAAACCATATAGCTGGTAGCATAAACAAGACTACTTTTTGTAAAAACCTTCCTAATAAACCAATTAAATAAGTGATTAAGAAAAAGTAGATAGGGGCGGATCCACCTTTAGATTAGGGGCACTTCCCCACCCTACCATGACTTTTGGAACACCTCTCTATATTTTAGTAATTTGAGGTCGTAATTTTGTCTATTTTGATATTCTGCCCCCTGGTCTTAGATTTTTTATTTTTAGTTAGTTCGTGGTTTATTAACCCTCTAAATTAATATTTTATTTTTAAAATGAGTAAAACTCGGTCACATCATTAGATCAATTTTTTAAGTTAAAAGAGCATTCCTCTATATAAAAAATCTGTTCATTGTTATGCCAAAGCAGCACAATAAAAAAGCATTGTTTTTTATTTCAAAACTTTCATTTCCACAGCATTATATGTGATAATTTAGTATGAAAAAAAATGATTTTGATAGAATTTTCATACTTTTTTTTTTGGGGGGGGGGGGGGGGAGAGATAGGTTACCTAATGAGCTCCGTCTGAAGAGCACCACCTTGTTTGGTCCTCCTATGAGAAGTAGAACCAAAACCAGTGGTGACACCATAGCTGTCTGTACCCTTGTTCATGCTCTCCATAACCCAGTCACCGCTGGCCTTAACTCCTGCCCTCGCCGCCTCCGAGAGCTCCACCGTGACAGCATTATCACGGGCGGCGATCGCCGCCACCTGCGATATCGTCAAGGTTTCGCCACCAAGCCGCACCTCCGGCTTCCGAAACTCCGCCACCATTTTCTTCACCTCATCCAAGTGGCTACCCTTTAATGACTCAGCTGCCACACCCCAGTTCAACGGGTCTTTAATGCAAAAACCCGAGTCCACACCGTTTGAATGCCCATTTCCCATGGCAGTGTCCATGTTCTTATGCACTGGTTGTACTTTGAATATGCAGAGAAAGAGAGAGAGGAACTTATTGGATGGCTATGAATATCCTGAGTTGTAAGGACAAAAGGGTTGTGGCTTAAATAGAGAGTAGCTTTGAGTGTTCATACTGATTTTGGTAGGTGGGCGTTGGGGTGGGAGGAGTGGGGGTGGACGGCCAAATGGGGGTTAGTTGAAGATCAAGCTGGTCCGTTGATTTGGCGTATTTACTGGTTGAGATGCCAAAACGTTTGTCGGCCATAAAATTAAATTTACAGTCTAAATGATATGGTAATTAACTTGAACTTCTTTATTTAAAGAGTTTGAACTTAATTTTAGTAGATCTAGACGATAAATGCATTAAATTATTTGGTCTGTTAAATTAGCAGGTCAACATAACCTCAACGAAATATGACACAAACTCATTAAAATATACATGATTATAAGTAACACATGCATGTATTAAGCAAATTCTAACACAATACGATCAAATAATGATTCTTATATTACTTTTATTTGTTTCAATCTTTTTTATGTTCAACATATAAATATTGAAAAAATGAGGTATCTACTCACGCAATACTTTTGATTTATTAAAATTAAAGTTAATTGGCCGATTAATTATTTATTACCAAATTTTCATAAATTATATTTTTTTCTTATCTTAAATTTGTGACCTTTTTTTTTAATATGGATTATTTTTTTGCTCAACTTTTTTTAAATACATAAGAGACATACATAGAATGACAAAAAAAACATATTGAGTTTGAGTAGTTTACGATTCAGAATTTTTCCCCACATTCATTTTTTTGAAAAAATAAATTAGTTTTATCAATAAATTTCAAATATTTTTCTCTATTTTTTCAATTGATAGCAGATTTAATTGTATTTTCGTTTTCAAAATCAACTTAATTAATAATTTTTTTATATCTAAAGTTTGAAGGCAAAATTAGTAGTTTTACATCTCAAATACAAGAAAAATAATTTTTTAATGAATATATATTAATATAGTAATATTTATTTGTCATATTTAAATTATTATATATCATTACACTGGGGCCAGCTAAATATTTTCACCCAAGACCCCCATTTTTGGTTGGGCCGCCCATGGTTTGGAGGATTCGGATTTTGGAACCGTATCATAAACGAATAGATTCAAAGTATGGGCCAATTCCGGGGTAAAAAAAGTAATAAAAATATTGTTTAATCTATAAATCATTATGAGATCTAGGTGTATTATAAAATGACTAGTCATAACCCGTGTCTGAAGACACGATAAAATATAAATTTGAACGTCCAAAAAGTAGATCTCACTATTTTAAATTTTTTCAAAATATATTAACTACAAATTAATTAAATATTAAATGATTAAATATATGATAGGAATGAGTGATGTTATATTTTTGGAGAGAATATATTAATGATTAAACATGTAATAAAAATGAGTGATGTAATTTAACGTTTGAGTTTGACAAGGGGATGATGGGGTGAGGTACGTGATTGGTGATGGTTTGGAGGTGAAAAATATGACTAGAATAAAATTCAAACACACTCCTATTTTATTGTATGTATCTAAGCAATTTTACCTTTTACGAAGGAAAGTAAAATTATATAAGTAATTATAAATGTGGATAAACCAATAAATAATAACTCTTCGTGGGGCACTCAAGAACTAATTAAAAATGTTTATACAACTAATGAATCCAAAAGTAATTTTAGAGATTTTTGGGTTAGAATCTAATTTATTTTTTACTCACTTATTAAATGAGTTATGATAGGTTGAATTTATAACAGATTGAACTAAATTCATTAATCCATAAAATAATTAAAACTCTTAATAGACACACATTAGTACACCAAAATACACACATATTAGTACACCAAATTACAAATATATTCACACATTAATATACCAAAACATACATACTAATACACTAAAACACACACTAATATACCCAAAATACACATACATATACCAACCCAAAAAAAAAAAACAAACATATACTATCACACAAAAAATCACATTTAATAAAAAATCAAACTACACACATAATCGATCACGAGTTGACCCGTGGGTCATGAGTTGTATCATGAATTGACTCGTGGTCCGTGGGGTCATAGGTTGTGTCGTGGGTCATAGGTTGGGTCATGGGTCAATCTATGGATTATATGTCATAGGTCAGCTCATGGGTCAGGTCACAGAGGTCATGGGCAAGGGGTGTATTATTGTGTGTCTTAGTGTATTAGTGTATATGTGTGTATTTATTTGATTTTATTACTTGTATTATTTAATAAAAAGATAAATATTCAACCCAATAGGTAACCATTTGTAATCCATGTTAAATCGCTTAATTAAAATGAATCATATTACGTAACTCATTTAGAACTCACATTAATTAATATAGGTACACAACTCATTTATTTATAAAACGAGTTGGGCGAGTTAATAAATAATGAGTAAGGATTGTCACCTCTAAGGGCATCTCTAACTCTTACTCAAATTTAGACTAAAATTTAAATTTGAGTAAAAAAAATCTAAAAAATTTGTTACAACCCTTGACTCAAACTTATACCAAATTAAGGAAAACTCAATTTTGTACTACAATCAAGGGAGACTTAAAATTTTACTCAAATCTTTAATGGTGAGATTTTTTCATCTTTTAAAGATCCAATGGTTATCCTTATTCCCATTTAAATTTGGGTTTGCTCTTATTTAAATTTGGATCTCTACTTCTTTAAATTTGAGTTTGTCCATTAGAGTTTTTTTATATCAAATCAAGATTTTTACTTAAATGTTAATTTAAATTTGAGTCATGGTTGGAAGAGAGAATATTATAAGAGGGGGAGTGACGACAAGACAGAGTTTGCCTTGTTTCTCATCTACTTTTTTTTTTGTATTACACTCAGAAGTCTTTGGGTCAGTTTACAAGTATCTTATCGATCCAATTAAAGACAAGTCCTCCACGGCATCATTAAAAAATTTATAAAAGATAAATCTCTTATGAAGTCTCGCCCTCAAAGTAGATATCAAATTTTAAATTCAAGATATTTAATTTTACAGTTTATAATTATCTCCACTAAGCTAGGTTTAGTGTTTCGTGTGATCTCGTTGCGCTTATGAATTCATCGCCTAAGATGACACAATAAGTGCCTCTAAATTTAGTTGTTTTGAAGTTCTAGTAAATACTAACAGTGATTACCTACTTATACATATGTCCCTGTCCAAAATTTACCATCCCTTTTTTTGGTAATTTCCTTTTTTTTTAATGAAAAACTTTGGTATGGATTGTTTTTTTACGATACTCAATTTTATTTTTTGTTTTGGTATTATAATCAGAGATATCCGAATTAATTTACAAAACTTCAATTAATTTTCTTTTCAATTTAGTCAAAAACAAGTCATTCACATCGAATTCACGATAAATAAATTTTCCATGGTTTAACCCGAACAAAATTGTCAAATTTTGAACTAGATCTTTTCGTTAACAACAAAATACTTAGAGGTTTTACTCAAAAATTCAGTATCGTATATAATATTTGCCAATATCTTACATATTTTAATTATATATGCAAAATATAAAGCTCTGAAAATAACTGTTCCATATCTGAATGCACATTGCACGAGTACAAATAAGTGAAACAAGTTGTTTTAAGCTAAACAACTCTGGTAATTGGGTTCAAAACGCGTCTGCGAAGTCTAACAACCACAGCTTTGGCCTTTGAGGACCAGCCAACTTTAAATTCAGTCAACATCACCGTCTCTCACTTTCTCTGTCACTTGCCTCGTGAGTCCTGAGATAAGAAAATTTTGCTTTTTTTTTGCCTTATTATTTTCCAATAATAAGTGAGATGAACTCTAGAAATTTTAACTTATCTTAACTTTTTTTGAAAGAATCGAATCTAAAACCATGACAATGTTTATTTTTTTAAAAAAAATATATTGTGATTTCGAGTTTGAAAATTAGTGTCTTTATATTATCTCTTCTACATTTTGCTATAGACAATAACATTCTGCATTACATTGGTTACGATTTTTCAAGGGAAACTCCATTTTTTTTAGGTTGACAAGCAACTTTCATTTCTGAAAATACATAAACCCCGAGATTCTCGTAAAATGTGGACAAGTGGTAAAAGCTGACAAAGAGTAGTACCAATTCAGTAAAGTCAAGTCTTTACGTTTATATACGGGCTCTTTGACAATCCCGAAACTTTTAAAAGTGAGAGGTATCTACAGACCGATGTCCACTACTTCATCTATAAGAAAAATATCATAGATATGCCAGTCATTAGAAGTAAGAACCATCGTAAAAAAAGTCTTCGTGTCTTGTCATTATGTTTTGTTATTTAGGATGAAAATAGGCGGGTTGGACTTGTTCATACAAGAAAAAGACAATTTTTAAAGTTCTCTCTAGAGGCAAGTCACAAAAAAATTCCATCCCACTAATTTATGAGTCGAATTGAAGGTGGTGTCCATTTTCTACATTTACAAAACAAAATGGGGTCCATAATTTTTAGCAACCACAACCTCCCTTTCTCAATACTAGTAGATCTTGCATAAGGCCACCTAAATTATATAGGAGTGAAATTAGGAGAACACTATATGAGTGAGAAAAGATTGAGAGATAAATTATATAATAATTGATTGTAGTTGATTGACAGTTGTGGGTTGTTGAAGGGTAATGGATAACTAAAGTATGAAGAAAGTAGAGGCAATGTAAGTATTTTGCATCTTGTAACTAATTAACTTCCAACTTAACAACAAAAAATTTTGTTTTACAAATAAAAGCCATGCATGATGATTAATAAGTGTCGAACCACCAATCACAAGTGGCACATCCTAATATGAGAATAACTTCATTGTGCAAATAATATTCATCTTAACTCTATATTCAGTTTATTTTTTACAACACTTCCGATTAACGATGAACAAATACCAAATCATTTAACCGTAGAATGACCTATTTTTGAATCCTTTTGCCTCCGGGACATTTTACATTTTCTTTCATTAAGTAATTTTGGCCGAAAGAAATTCCACTACAGGTACTATAAACAACAGAAAAGAACAAATTACAGTACATATAGACAAAGTCCGACCTGTTTTGTATTATTAATTAACTCTATTCTTCTATC